TGTCTCTGGGGAGTCCTCTTACCCCACCCCCCATATCGGGGGGAGGGGGCCTGTGCCCTAGTTCTTCTACGCAAAAATAAAATAAATAAAATCTTTCTTTAAAAATAATAAAATAGGGCCCTCCCTGGAGGCGCAGCAGGTTGAAGCACAGCACTAAGAAACTAAAGCCACTTCTGAATAAGTTTGATTCCCGCCTACTCCGGAGGTGACCACATGGCGCGGCAGACCTCTCTTGACCCACCCGTTGCTCCCCTCAGCAGTGTACTTCATCATTCAGCCTGTTCTGCTCCCCACTCTGTCTCTGGTGAAGCCTCTCACTGCCCCTGAGCCTGGCCTATACCCCAGTTCTGTATACACAAATAAATAAACCTTTAAAAAATAATAATAATGAAATGCAAGCAGCCGGTGGCATCTAGGGGAGGCCCCCCCGGAATGCACCTGATGTGCACCCCAGATGGAGAGACCCTGGCCAGCGCATCCACAAAGTATCATCTCACCTGGGGTTAGTTTCCTGTGTCTGCTGTGACCAAACCGCAAACATGAGGACCCAACAACAGAGGTGCACCCCTCCCAGATCTGGAAACCAGACTCCAAAGTCAAGGCAGGGCAGGCCCGTGGCCCTCAGGAGGCTGCGGGGCCCATCCCACCTCACCAACTCTGGGGCCACCCGCACCCTTGGCCTGAGGCCACTTCCCTCACAGCTCGGCCTCTGCCTCACGGCACCTTCCCTCTGGGCCTTCTCCTGCATGTCTTGTAGGAGCACATCCTGAGGTTGAGGTGACACAGTAACCGGGGGTCACATCCAGGCGTCTTCCCAGGGAGTGTCCCCTGCACGAGGTCCCAGGGTGCTGATAAGAACTGGCGTCAAGGGGCCCCTGTGTCACCCGGACAGCCCTATCTGCGCAGGCCACGCAGCCTGTGGGGCCACGGACACTGATTTCACCGAGTCTTCAGTCCGGCTGGGGCAAGAGAGGTGGCGTCGGCGAGGGAGAAGCGGTGCCCAGTCTTAGCACAGCGTGGGCACACGCGTGGACACCGCGGCCAGGCTGCTCTGGCCACCCCTGCTGAACTCGGGGAGCCACACGGACCCCTCGGCACACATCAGCTCGAGGGAAGTAACAGAGCGGCCAGCTGCACGGCACTCTGGTGTTTCTGATTTTTATGCTTATTTAAAAAAAAAAAATGGTCAGGGCTGCTACCTAAGAAGCCGAAGAAGCTTTCTACGGCCTTAGAATACATTTTAAAAATAAATAAGGACCAGACAGCAGACTCGAATGAAACTGCCTGGGATCCATCTATAGCTCTCATGGACACCTCTTGGCGAAGAAAGAGGCCACGCTCAGAGGCGGTGGGGCGCCTCCCGCCGCCCCTAAAAGAGTGAGGGGCAGCTGTCATCACCATGGCACTGTCTTCCATCTCCCTTTTTGGCTTGTACCTTTGTTAAGGGGAAGGGTGTCCTAAAGGGATTCTGCAGAGTTTTGTGGACTCTACCCCCACTCCAGCTTTCTGGACTTCACCCCCTACTCCAGGGACTGGAAACTACAACTCCCAGCAGTACCGGGGGGGAGGGGGGACTGCGAGGACCCAAGGGTGGAGCTAAGCAGGCATTCTGGGACTCTGGGGGATAAATAGGAGCCATTTTTTATGGCGCTCTCTCACTCAGGCAACGACTCTCAGTACCATATGACTGGGGGCTTTCAGTAAATTTGTTACCAGAGCTCCAGGTCAGCCAAACCAGTAAGATATTCTAGTTACTTTGTATGTCTCTCTCTTCCCCTAGGTTGTTCCTATTCCTTCCCCCTTTTGTAAATAAACCCATTTTGACCCTTTTGTGTGTGCCTGCAATACAACTGAATTTTAAGCGTGCAGGTGAGGCCCACAGACAGGAGGCCCAGTTCACACTGGGGTGCCCTGTAACACCTTGAGTAAGAATCCCCCAGCCCAGCGCCCCCAAGAGAGGGTGCCGCAGCGCACAGGGTGACACTGTTCTGCTTAATGTTTCTGCTCAACATCCATCTATTAAATTTCACAAAAAGCATTGAGTTTGTCCAGCTTTTCCAAAGGCGACACCCTTCTGCTCAGTTGCTCATAATATGCTCTGAATTTGAACTGATGCAGCAAGCTGCATCCAGCCTCTCAGGCCTGTGACACTTCCCAGGCACGTGAGCCTTTGACCTTGGCATGCCCTTGAGCTGGGTGGAGAGGCGCAGACTCTTCTTCTGCTGGGCTCTGCTGAGCTTTCTGCGGCCTCTGCTCTGCTTTTCAGAAGCGAACGTGGTCCGCTTCACGGTTCCTAACCGCCTGAAAGCTGCCGCTGATCTCCTCTGAGGGCTGGGACCCACAGCCAGAGACTGTCCGGGAGTCCTGGCCGCCAGATGGGCTCCCCACGGCTGCGGCCTCTGGCTCCGTTGCCGTGGCTGCCGCCTTATCTGCTTCCAACACTTTCAAACAGGCCGAGTCTTCTAATCTCCTCTCCCCTCTTTTGGCAACACTGGCCTTTATCTTGTGGGTCTCATCTTTATTACTCACAATGAGCACTCATTAAAATATTTCAAATGAAGACCTTTGCTGCCGTTCTAACTGAGCCCATCCAGTCTCCCCACACAACACATTTTTAATTCTTATCACAGAATTCCAGGCAGTTTGTACATTATATTCTATTAACACCCCGATTCCGCCCAAGGTTGTCCCCCATTCAGTGATGGCTGCTTTCTGCAGGATCCTGTCAGGGATATATTCGCATACTCACTTGTCTCCAGTATCTGAGCCTGTACTTCACACCTCATTTGCTAGCACAATTTAACAAAATGGTGTAAAAAGAAGCAATTATTTATTTAGATGATGGAGAGGACTTTAGCACTTGTTAGAAGAGAGTAAACTGTCAGGCTGAAGCAGCCGCCAGGCCCCCCCAGCCAGGAAGTTCAGCTCTCAGAGGAGGAAGTGGGGAGGAAGGGGGTAGGGCAGGAGCCACCCCATCAACTCTGCTTATGCCTCTTCCTCCTTGACCTTTTTTTATCTTCTCTAATGAGAAAGCAAAATTGAATCTCATCAAGTGATAACCAAAGTGGGTTTTTCCCATTGAGTAAAATATCACCACCTGATCAGTCTAATATTTCGACACAGCTGACTCCCCACACACAGGCCATTGCAGTCACTCAGGACCCAACGAGGGACTTGGGGAGCGAAAGTCAGAGCACCCTGCACAAGGACTCTGGAGACAGCTGGGACACTCCCAAATCCCAGGACACTTCTCCCGAACTCTAAACCCAGGGGCTCCCCACCAGAGCTGCTAGAGAGGTGGGTTCCGGGTGAGTGGCCCAGGTCTGCCCCACAGCCCGCAAGGAGCAGGTCCGGGAGGTGCTGGGCCCATGAGGAAGAGCTGTCAAGTCTGCGGACAGGAGCCTGAAGTTGCTGCAGTCACTTCCCAGCGGGAGCGGGGAGCCCACCAGAGACAAAGCAACTGGGAAGACAGGAGGCGGCAGCTGCAGGTACGGAATAGGGTCTGGCTAGGTCCAGCTCACCCGCCCCTTCTCCATGGGCACAAGGAACCCAAGCCCCTCCCTGCATGGGCTGCCTTGGTTCAGCACCCAAAGGACAAAGCCTCCTGGTTAACATCCCTTGATGGACACTTTGAAGAGTGTGACAAACTTCTCTCTGACCCAACTCCTACCTTCCTACCAGACAGCAAAGACCATGGTGCAGAACCTAAAAGCCGTGCTGAATACTTGATTCCTAGAATGCCCTGCTGCTTGGCCCAAGCCATGGAGCCTGCTGCCTACTGATGAGAAGGGAGAGAAGGCTCCCGAGCATTTCTGAAAGGACTTCTTCCCTGGTAAAAAGATACATATTAGGGAAAACGTCCCATTGCTCCCTTCTAGTCTCTATCTACAACCGAGTGTGTGATGCCTGGGGGAGCTGCAGCCGCTTTGTAGCCATGAGGAAACAAGATGGGGGATGGCAGCAGTGAGCTGGGGATAGCTGAAAGGAAAGACCGACTGCACCTGGGTGACACAGGTGCTGGGCCCACAGCCTCCCGTGTGCTGTCGGGTGGGAGGACGGGGCGTGCCAGCCTCTTTCAGGTAGGCCCTCCGGCACTAGCAACTGAACGCAGCTGGGCATCCTCGGTTCTTTGCAGGTACTGGGGGCTGGGGACTTAGGGGTGCTCAGTGGACAGGTCTGGACTTCCAAGGAAACCATGGGCCCAGCGAGGGCGAGAAGAGGACCTCAAGGATGAAGCGGGAACTGCTGAGACGGACATGAGAGGCATAGTCCTCCGAGCACCGTCCTGAAAGCAGGCTGCTGCCCCCTCAGCTCAGGGCTTGGGCCTCCTCCTGGGTGGACTGGCAGAAGGTCTCTTGTCCTCCCTTCCCATCCCCCAAGCCCCCCACAGACACACAGGCCCTGTGCAGAGGAAGCGCCTAGAGCCAAATGGCGCAGAGAGCATCACCTGTGGGCGCCTGGGGTGAAATTACTGCAGCACCCGCCAGCTCCCCAGGAAGTGGGGCCCTGAATCTACAGCTGGAGCCCCGTGGAGAAGACAAGCTGCCCACAGCAGTGCCACCTCCGCCCCCTCGGCACCCTAAACCCACGTGCCAGGTGGAAGAGTAGTGCCCCTAAGCCCTGACCCCCGCCCCCCGGCCTTATTGCAAAACCCTCAAATCATTTCTATGTCCCAGTCACTCCTGACTCTTCACTGAAGGCGATACCAATAAAAACAGTAAGGTGTTAAAGTACAATTTTCAAATGCTGCACCGAGGCCAGTGCGAATTTGGGTCCCTTTGAGACCAGATGCGCTGACCAGATCTTAGTGTATGAAGAGTAGAGACCGAGGCCCCTCCAGCCAGCAGCACTGTCATGCCACCTGGATGCTCAAAGGGATAAACACCCCACTAAGGCAGCGTCCCACCAAGGCAGCTGGGGCCGGCTTTTCTCATCCACTCGGACGTGGCCATCAGCCTGTGGAGCCCGACGCCATGGAGGCACCGGGGCGGAGCGCCCACCTGCTCTGTGCGTCCGGGAGGTGGCCCACGCAGGTGAGCGTGGCCGTGGTCTGGTCGCCGTCACTGTCGATCTCCTCCTGGACCGCCCACTGGTCCTCACTGCTGACTCGCACTGCTGTTATTTTCACACCTGCTGCTGCCTTAATTCTGCAGGGTAAGAAAAGAGAGAGAAAACCATTTTAGCTGGAAAGAGGCATTAAGGATGCGGAGCTGAGCCAGCTTTCCCCGTCCTCGGAGCTACAGGGAGCAAGGCACTGAACTGTTTCCTTTTAAAACCATGTCTTGGCATTTCAACGAGCACCCTGGGGTCAGAACCCCCAGCCTGGCCACGTGCACTGCCTCCCTGTTTCTGCAGCTCCTGCCCAGGCCCCTCGGTGGAGACCAGCAGATGTGCCTGCAGTGAGAGGGTGTCTGTGAGCCAGTCCTTTACCTGGAGCTGGGGAAGGGCCCCCATGGGTGGGAGGCAGAGGTGTGTAGACACCCAGGGGACTGTGTGGGCTGGAAACCCGAGGAGGGTGGAACTGACCACAGGAGAAGGAAAGCACAGGCCCGGGACAGCCACAGACACAGCTCACAGACATGGCAGGAGGCAGGGCTACTTGGCCTGGAAAAACATGATGACACTGGAAAAACACTGGTCTGTCTGGCTGTCAGCACCCAAGGGAGAACTGAGGATCAGATGCTTCAACCATGGGGAAAAGCCACAGGGAGATGACAGCCTGGGCTGCCCCCCAGCGCCCCCTTCTCTGTCCCCTACTCTCCCTGAAGCCCCCAAGTTGCTACTTGCCAGCATGGGTCTCACAGGCAGCAGCCTTGGAACATGCCAGGTGCTGTGGGCAGGGATGCAGAATGACCAGGAGGAAGCAGGGCCTCGGAGCCCTCCAGCAGCTGGGATTGAACTACAGAAGATCAGAAGCACACGCCTGAGCTCTGGCCCCTGCTCCAAGCCTTCAGGGACTGGCCGGTCTCTCCCCTGAAGCAGTAGGCCAAGAAGTGTCCCCAGAGGCACGGGGCACCCTTTCCCACCAAAGATGTCAAAAGGAAAGCCATGTGAAGACAAGACGTGAAGTTAGAAAAAGACCAGTCCATGAACACAGACACCCCACCACCGCCAAGAGCATGGAAGCCAAACTCCCCCAAGAGGTGAATCAGCCAAGTCCACACCTGACAGCAGAGTCCAACACATCAGGTAAACACTGTGGGTGAACGTGCAAGAGCAAGAATCTACAAATCGTGTGTCTGACAAGGGTCTAGCATCTGAAACAAAGAGCTGCTATAGCCCAGCAACAAAAAGACAAATAACCCAACTTAAAAGCAGGCAAAAAAAAAAAAAAAAAAAAAAAAAAAAAAAAAAAGTATGCTGTGGTTTCGAGA